CCAGAAAATTTGTTTATTTTGGCCTAGTGCATGTGAAAACACAAAAAATCTAAAAGAAATTAATGGGCAATGAGCTGAATTGTGTAATTTTAGAAACGTCTGGCAGACAGCTATTTGTAGCGTTAAAGAGAGGCCATCCGAAGTTGAAGAGCACGCGCGTACGACGAGTGGAAACAGCGCCCATTACGAGATCCATTTTCAAATTTAGCAACTGTGCCCCATACCCTGCATACAGCCCCTGGCCCCACAAAAAAATTTAGAAGAAGTGGCAGTCCGTATCTGACTCCAAGCAACAACAGCAGAAGCAATTAGTGTTTTTGATCAATGCTGTTACCATTGTTGCTCTTGTACACGATCCCCACATACCGTGCTGTACAGTTTACTCGCTCGACAAACGTAATAAACCACCATCAATGCCACCATACAAACGCCATTACCTAACACCAATACACGCACCCAAACACCGCCCACACTGACGCCCAAGTCAGATGTTTAACGATTTTGTTGTTGTGGTTTCGTGAAATTAGTCGTTACTCTGCCTTTGTCATCGTATTTGTTGCCTTGCTTTTGGATAACGTCGTCGCCGTCTCTGCCGCTAAATTTGTTGTTGTATTAACTTAATTTTCGGCATGGCTTTGCGCACAGGCTCCGGCCGACGTCAACAGTAGCAGCGCAGAGTTGCAGCTTATTTGACGTTAGCGTACAAAATAAAACAAAAACAGAAAGCAATAAAATATAAACATTGAAAAGCAATAATACATATGTATGCATATATAAGATTGGTACATAAATACATACATAGTACGTCCACGATAAAGGTAGAGTTGGTGATGAATCGGAAAACTATGCGTAAAATCGTTATATTCATTGAATAACCAGTGAAGTTTGAGTCACTTGCGCCTCTTTTTTTAACCAACCAGTTCGCCCGCGTACGTTTTATCAAGTGTTCAGGTGAACAGCACGATTATACATACATATGAACATACATATAAAAAAAGAATTACAATATCACCTCCAGTAGACCAAAGCGGCGAGCTGTTGTACGCCAACGATAACGAATAATTAATAAAAATTGTAAGTAATACGTAGCGCCGCGAAGTATCGCACCGGAAGCACGTTCGCAACCATTACAGACAGCGGATATGGTATGTTTGTATGTACATATGTATGTATTTTTGAATGAATACAACTTCAAGTTTCGTAAAAACGTGGCCAAACCAGCCAAATAAAGAAAACAGTGCATGAATCCTCAATTTTTAAAGACTGCGAAGACCAAAGCATGCAGTACAACAACCATCTGACAAAGGAGGTACATATGAAATACATATTAAAATTGTGAGGTGTAAAAAGTGAAACTTAAGTTCATAGTGGGTGTAAGTACATATGTACATATGCATGTCCGTATGTAAATGTTTACATAAATTTAAGTGGTAAGCTGTGCATCTACTATCTGCCACCCCATCCGAATGATATAAATTTGCAGTTGAAGGCTGCTTATGATACGGGTAAGTGGCTTCTAGTTTAAATTATAAAATAATGAACAGGTATTTACTTAAATAAATATATTATTGTGATATCTACTATCTCTACATACATATTTAGGTTTGTGCATTTATTCTTGGTAGCTATTTATGCAATTTCTCTCGTGAAACATGCCCCAAAACCCGGTTGCCGCTCGCCTAAAATTTGCTCTACAAAAAAGTAAACAAATTTTGCCAATAATTTTCTTATGTATTCTGAATATGTTACGCACTTTTTCCAAGCAAAAAAAAATTGTCGAACATACTTTGTATAGAAGAAAAGGTGCTAAAAAAATTGCCAAAAATCAACGCGATTTTTTTATGAACTTCAAACTTAAACTTCATTCTACTAAAACTTACTAGGCTATAACACTCCATACTCGAAAAAATTCAAAAATTCTGATTAAAAAGTTTAAATTTTATATGCAATTTTGCAGAATTTTTGTACAAAGTTTGAAAAATTAATTTATATGGTTTTTGTTATACAATGAGCTATAATTTTATAAAAAAATAATAAATATTAAATACATACACGAAAGAAATTTGAAAAAATGTCGTGTCCATATTTATTTTTCCCCTACTGTATGTATGTATGTATGTATGCACATAGGTATGTACCACGCCGATGATGATAACCCATGATACAAAAAATAAGGTAGTTTCAATAAACAATTTTTTGATTAAAAAGGAGATTTTTGACGATTTGAAGCGGCGTTAAGCAATTTAGAATTTTTGGTAGAGGGGATTTTATATCCTATATTTGGGAGTATAAATTAAAGAGTTGTATTAACATTTACCTTTTAAAAATAATTAATATCTTTTCTTAAAACCGTTTAAACTTTACATTAAATTCGGTAACTACTTTCCAAAATCTTTATTTTTACATTAATAAAATTTTAGTGAACATATTTAAAAAATTTTTAGTGTCATTATGTCATCTGATTATCTCACAATGTAACTAGCCAGGACTATTACAGCTTTCTATATCCGATATGCTCATTTCTGATATATTTCAGACACTGAACAATTTTGATTTGGCCTTTGTCCATGTCTTTCAAGTAACTTGAAAACGGAATTTACTTTGGGACCCATGGGCCTCATGACTGTCAGAGAAGTGAGTATTATCTAATTCTAGTATATTTCGAAAATATCGTCGTTTCTTGGAGGGGGTGTGAAACAAAATTGATGATTTATTGTTAGTATGGAAACTAGAAACACAATAATTAACTTATTTACCATTAGACCTCTTCCCTTTCAAAAACAAAAGGGGAAATGTTCGGTTATTTGTTCAATGGTTTTGCGGTGGCAAGCGGAGACGGACCTATTAAAAAATTGGGTAAAATTAGAAGTTTGGCAGAGAAAATGTAAGTCCAACCCCGGCTCGCTGACCACAGTATTTAAAAAAAGGTCTGTAATTCAAACCGAATTTATTCATAAATTTGTATCTGAAGACTAGAAATCTTTATTTTAAAATAACGTGTAATTGTTTGACCACACGTGTGGGTCAACATTTTTTGCTTTGAGTTAAGCATTTGGACACATTAACCCAAAATTGTTGTACAAGTAACCGAGCCGTACTCAACAGTATACCTTTTGCTTGTTCAAATTTCGAATCTAAGAACAAAATGTCTGTAAATAACCAAAAAACTAATAACTAACTAGAACGGAATGTCACAATCTACTTAATTGTCAGGTTGTTAATATGGCGACGAAAAAGTGACAATGGAACTATCTTTTTTTTGTATCATGATAAAACCTGTATGGCTTTTGTAATAACCAGGGTTAGGATTTTAAGGCACAAAAAACTTGAAAAAGGCAAAAAAGCATTTATTTTTCACCGACTTCGCAAAAAGGAGAAGGTTATCAATTCGTCGGGATATTTTTTTTCTTGTTAATGTATGATATCTACCGCATGGCCCCATACTAATTTGTTTTAAATCTTATCATTGGATCATGAAGAAATTAACGATACTTAATCTTAAATTTTTATATGAGAATTAGAGTCGGTTTTGTTTTTGCGTAAAATATACTTGTTTAATTTTATTAGATACATATGTATGTACATACCTTTATGTGCAATGTGCATGTCCAATTAACCCGCATCCATCGTTTGTATCAATTTGATGCAAATTTCGAAAACATATTAAAATATTAAGAAAATTTGTTAATGTTTTCTATGAAGCATTTTTATTTTTATGACCAGAAAATGAATAAACGTTGGTCATTAATAAAAAATGAAAAAAATCCACCACTTCATTGAATACTAGGGTCTTTTTCCATACTTGATACATATATTGATGCACAACGTACTTAATTTGTGTTCCAAACAAGTAATTTTTAGCAAAAACAAGTAATTTTTAGCAAAAAAACCCGACTTCAACTCTCATATAAAAAAATATATATGTATGTATATATATATCTCTCATGATCCACTGATCGGATCTTAACCAGATTAGTATGGACCACCTCTGAGACACTACCTTTCCGATGCAAAACGAATTATCGAAATCGGTTGACGTGGTCCAAAGTTATGCGGTAACATACATAAAAAAAATAAAATA